TCTGGAATCGATGGAAACATCTGTGGAGCGGCCATCCAGATGGCTTTGAAGAGATTTCACTGGTCTTAGCGTGTCGATCGATAAGTACTTATGGCGGATCGATCGTGTTTTCACTATGCGAAAGAGGCGAACTCACTTATGTAAGAACCCCTGACGAGTATATAGGTTATTAATTATTTTTAGTGCCAGCGGTTTTCCAATTATAATTAAATTTCAACCTGCAAAATATACCTGCCGATCGTGTTGCAACTCAGGGATGCTGCAAGGAGTGCAAGTCATATTATTATCATCTGCGTACATTCTTACTGTAGCATAATCGGCTATAGTGGTAAGATCATTAATGTATATTAAAAACAAAAGTGACCCAAGGGCCCTGGAGAATTCCACACCTGAGAATGGCTTTCTCAGAGAGTACTCCCCTTGTGTACACGATTTGAAATCTGTTTAATAAATAGGATTTAAACCATTCTAAGGCATGGCCGCGAATTCCAATATACTCTAATTTCGTTAGTAAAAGCTGGTGGTTTACTGTGTGAAAGGTGTTCTTGAGATCTAAGAATACAATTCCACTAACCAGTCCCCTATCAATATTAAAACACCACTGATTGGTAAGATCAAGAAGAGCGGTTACTGTTGAGTGGAGAGATCTAAAGACAGATTGACGAGAATCTAAGAGTCACTGACTGGAAACATCGAGAATGGCTGGCCAGGTTAGAAAAATCGTAAATCCTGAAACTTTGCCTGAAGAACGCTTTTAGGGAGCCACTTTCGAAAATATTATTCCGATATTCTTAGAATTTAAAGTCTTCGAGGAATTCACAAAAAACGAAAATATAGCTTTTTACCTCATTAAATATGCAAAAAATATTTGGAAAATTGACAAAGTTCTCGGTATTCGCATTGAAACAATTTACAAAACTAGAACTCGGGGTAAACTTAGCATAAGAGCTTCACTTTTCTTCTATCTAACAATTAGAAGTTTTAAATTTTTCAAGCATTTTGAAGGATTCCGTCGACCGTTGAAGAATTTCCTTCTAAAGCCCTTATGAAAACGACAAAAATTGCGTAGTTTTACGGGCTTAAAACGCATCTTGGTATGTCCAATATGGAGCTAAAACAAGTACTGTGCAAAAGGGTGTCGTTTCTACTATAATAA